AACCCACTCAGCACACTCTGATTGACCCTGCAATAATTCAGCCACTCACTGCCCTCACTCCGTTTCCACTAAAATTTCCAAGGCATTCATGCTGCAGATTTTCTTTTTAGTGGAACTGCCTCATTCAGCATTTCCTGGGCAAGGCCAAGGTTCTACATAGTCAGATGCCTGCTCTAGCCCCACAGAGAAACAACTGGCCTCTTCTGGTTACATTAACACAAATATGTGGGTCCAAGACCAGGAGCCTTGGCTTCTTACATCCAGTTCAGCAAAATGAAAAATGATGTCCCTCCCTTACCATCTCACCCCATCACAGCTGTGAGAAACTACTAGGTTGTTATTGTGGGTAAGGTTGCTGCCTGGGGCACCACTGGGCCAACCCTGCATTTGTTATGGCCAGAGCAGCTCTAGAAACTGGGATGTAAGAGAATATGCAAGTGGGGACAAGGGACAGCCCTCACGTAGTGGTGACTTAACCATTTCAGGAGTGCCCAGCCGGCATGGCTCAGTGGTTTAGCATTAATCTATGAACCAGGAGGAGGTCAAGGTTCAATTCCCAGTCAGGGCACATGCCCAGGTTGTGGGCTCGATCCCCAGTGTGGGGTGTGCAGGGGGCAGCCAATCAGTGATTCTCTCTCATCATTGATGTTTCTATCTCTCTCTCCCTCTCCCTTCCTCTCTGAAATCAATAGAAATATTTTTTAGAAAAACTTCAGGAGTTGCACCTCCACCCTCAACTTCCACTCTTTGATTTGAAGCAAAAAGTAGGGGTAGAAGGCACCGTGCCACCAGCCACGTGAATCTGTTCCTCCTTCTCTCCATCCTTTAACACACCGCAGGAAACCCTGCTACCCAGTGCCGTCCTCATCGCTGTGTCTCTTCCCACCCTTCCACTGCTCTCCAAGCCTGAAAGGCAAGGCAACTGTCTCCTGTCTTGGGCTGTGGGGTTCCCAAGGTAATTATGATTCATGTCCTGCAGGCTCCTGGTAGATGGATTCTGCTGCTGTCAGCAGAGCCAACCCAGCCCGAGGTCTCAGCTGCTTCCTGTCGGGCCTGGTGTACTGCCTTCCGGGTGAAGGACGGGCGAGTCCCAGGCTGACTCGGTTTGTCTGCAAGTGCTTACACTGCATCCTCCCATAGTGGGAGAGCTCAGACACTCTGATGAGCCAGTCACGGTGCCACAAAGATTACATTCACACACACCTCTGCCAGGGGGGCTGCTCTGATGACTTGGCGGGAAGGAAGGAGGGATCAGAAGGGCTTAGAGACCCCATGGCAAACCTGCAAATAACTGGCTGCATTTCTACTATTCATCAAGAATCCACTAGTGGATGATACCCTGACAGAAGGCATCCTGGACGCCTTTCTGAGCCCATAGACATGTAATTTCCTTGGGGGACAAGTACACCATGTCTTTGAAAAGTCGTCTCCTATACATGAATATCGTGGATGTGTTTCTAGTGTGGCAGATGCAAGGTGTAGCTTTAGGAACAATTATATAAAGGGGCACACTTAGGAAATTTGCTATGTGGGGCCTCTTCCATCTCAATCAAGCTCCCTATTGATTAGATTACTGATGAGGCCAAATCATCTTTTCTGTGGTTCTTGGGCCCCTTTCATGGGGAAAGTTGGTACTGATGAAAGTTCTCCCCACTATTCCCCCAATCCTTACCCCACTCCCTCTGGACTCTGAGCTGCTCCACAGGTGAGACAGTCACCATCAGTCCCTCCCTGGAACTCCCCCTAGTGGCGAGGACTCTCAGGCCACATACATGCCCATCCCAAAGAAGACCCTGGCCAAGCCCGGCCACTCACCGCCTGCTGGCTTATCTTCAGGGCTGTTCTGCAGGTGGTTCTGGCTGGCTTCAGTGGGGGGCTCGTCACTTATAGGGCTCGTGACCCCCGGAATGGTGGGCAGGTCCCGTGGGGGTGTTTTGGTCACAGGTGAATTCCGACACTCCATCAGGAACTTGCGGTCATAGATGATCCTGGTACCTGGAAGGGAACAGGGACACTGGTAGAGCCACTTTGAACCCCTTGCCTGCTCATTTTTCCACGTCTCTGAGGCATGGCCGCAGCACAGGCAGCAGGTCTCCCTGTAAAAGCCTGGGCTATCGCTGTGGCTGCTTGGTTGAGTAGCGTCCTGTGCACTGAAGGGATGCTGGTTTGATTCCAGCCAAGGCATATGCATGGGGAGGAGGGGGAGCATGCAGGAGGCAACCAATTGATGTTTCTCACTCTCTCTTCTTCTCCCTTCCCCTCTCTCTTTCTCAAAATAAAATTTTAAAAATATATTTAAAAAAAGGCAGACCTATAAAAGGTGGAATGAGACTTATTCAGGTGCTTAGGACTCTGCTGTCACCAAACTGCCCTGATTCCCCATTACGAGGGGCACTGATGGAAGAAGGGGCCCACTGCGTCCGTTCTCCACTCAGAGCTTGGCACACCCTGCGCTCGCTCCCTCAAGCCCACCAATTCACTGACCTCATTGGAGCTCAGCGTTAGTACTTGGACAATCATGTCCCACGGTGGAAAAGGTGTGTTCTTTACTCACTTTTCAATCCCATCCTTACAGCACCCTCATGGGGTATCTAGGATCTTTCACTTCATTTTACAAATGTGTGGACAAAAAAAATCAAGGCATTCCCCGACTAGTAGAAATGAGAACGTTCCTGCCTGGGCTTTGTGGAGAGGAAAGGCCCACAAAAGGGTCTCCTGTTAAGTCCACCTCCCTGTGCCAGCCTGCTCTGTCCCCGGCTCCGGTTTATCCATTGCTCTGCGGTGCCACCGCACTTCAAGGTTTGTAGATGGTCTGAGTTCCATTCATTTTCTTACTGTTCTCCTTTCACAAGTGTCACCCTAGGGTGGGGACCAAGTCTTATGGAATCATTCACTATCCTAAAACAACACAATGGACCCATCCTGTGATACTTAAAAAGGGGTGTTTTCTAAAGTATGGGACTCAGGGTCCTCGTGGGAGACCCAGCTGATCCATCAAACGACAGTGAACAGTGAGAGGTTATTCCTGATCCCCTCGGAAGCACCAGTAATATAACAGCTCACTAACATTTGCCGATTGCTCCCATCTCAACCAAGAGCAGGCCTCAGGTTCAAAGCCTTCCACAGCCAGGGGAATCCAGCTAGAATTTAAAACTGTCTTGTTGTCATTATATTTCTTTTTATAGTTACTTTCTATTAATGGCAAGCGAATCTGGTTTTCCATATACAGTGGGTGGTATCAAATTTCCTTTTAATACATAACAGGATATAATTTAATACAGGGTGAGGCAGAAGTAGGTTTACAGTTGTTTGTATGGAAAACAATACAATAATTCATCAATAATAATACATGAATGAACTCTTGTGTTTCACATACTCACAACCATAAACCTACTTTTGCCAAACCCTCATTTGTGCTAATAAAATCTACAAACTAAGTGATGGCAGAGGTAGCATCTAAGACACCCACCCAGAGGGCATTTTAGCTGCGGAGGGTAGACACTGGTGTTCAGAAAGCCCACTGACAAGGCACCAAGGGGGCGGGGGGGCGGGGGAGGTGGGAAGGAGAGAGACCACAAAGCCACCTCTGATTCAGTTGGGAAGGATGAGGAACGGGAGCTACAGATCAATGTGGTGGGAATGTTTCCTATGAAGCGCTTGGGCTTGTTAAGCCTTTTCCCTTCCATCCCTTCATGGGATTCACCACTACACAGCTTCAGTTAACAGTGATCTTCTGGAATTTCC